GTGATCTCTTCAAACATGATATGGTACTTAGTGATCTCTTCAAACATGATGTGGTACATAGTGATCTCTTCAAACATGGTATGGCACTTAGTGATCTCTTCAAACATGATATGGTACTTAGTGATCTCTTCAAACATGATGTGGCAATTAGTGATCTCTTCAAACATGATGTAGTACTTAGTGATCTCTTCAAACATGATATGGTACTTAGTGATCTCTTCAAACATGATGTGGTACATAGTGATCTCTTCAAACATGGTATGGCACTTAGTGATCTCTTCAAACATGAAGTGGTACATAGTGATCTCTTCAAACATGGTATGGCACTTAGTGATCTCTTCAAACATGATGTGGTACAACCATATCATGTTTGAAGAGATCACTAAGTACCATATCATGTTTGAAGAGATCACTAAGTACCATATCATGTTTGAAGAGATCACTAAGTACTACATCATGTTTGAAGAGATCACTAAGTACTACATCATGTTTGAAGAGATCACTAATACCACATCATGTTTGAAGAGATCACTAAGTACCATATCATGTTTGAAGAGATCACTAATGCCACATCATGTTTGAAGAGATCACTAAGTACCATATCATGTTTGAAGAGATCACTAAGTGCCATACCATGTTTGAAGAGATCACTATACTTAGTGATCTCTTCAAACATGATATGGTACTTAACGATCTATTCAAACATGGTATGATACTTAGTGATCTCTTCAAACATGATATGGCACTATTATCTGAACAGGAGTAAAAGTTGGTAGAAGATGGAAAATCATATTTGATATAAACGCTCTGCAGCCTAATGCGATTTTTCAAGGAACGAGGCTAACTAACTACTGGTGTGCTTTTGAAGACTGCTTGCATATTACTAATTACGTCTTGTGAAGGCACCATTTCTCCGGTGGTACTAATACACATTCTTCAATATGACAGAGACATTCATCTGGACAGAGCTGCAGATTTATTCATAATAAGAAATTGGAGCTGGATGCTTTAGTGAAGTAACGGGCAATATTTCACACTTTTTTGATCAGATAGAAATAGTTAAGTTTGGGTGTTATTGGTTAAGTTCCATCCAGTAAAACAGGAAACCCTCTATGGGCCTAAAATTTGTCTTTAAACCTAAGAAATTAATGTTTCAAAGTTTGTAAGTATTATAAATTATG